TTATTTTGTGAAACTAATTTTTATAACTAGATAGAAGAACCCGCCCCTCATGGAGATAAATAGCCTCCTGGCCATTCCCCCTCCAACGCGGCTCCACCATATCGGAGCATCAGCCCAAGGCAGGTCACGCCCACAGCAACAGCAGAATAAACTCCATAGCAGCTGGGCAAGAATCAGAAGCCCTTTCTGCGCGCAGCTTCCCAGCACAAGCCACTAGAGGTCGTTGTTCTCCCAGGAGAGGAGGGCCACAAATCAACAAGAAGGGAAGTTCTTCCAGCCGTCACTCATGTCAGCTCTGCAAACTATCTCTATCACCATGAAAAGGCAAAATTACAGGCAGACCAAGATAACAGAGACAAGACCTGAGAAGGAGACAGACCTAACCAGTCTTCCTGAAAAAGAATTCAAAATAAAAATCACAAGCATGCTGATGGAGATGCACAGAAATATACAAGAGCTAAGGGATGAAGTCCGGAGGATGATTACAGACGTCCAGAGGGAGATTACAGACTCCAGGAAGGAGATTACAAAAGTGAAACAAAATCTGGAAGGATTTATAGGCAGAATGGATAAAAATGCAAGAGGCCATTGATGGAATAGAAACCAGAGAACAGGAATACATAGAAGCTGACACAGAGAGAGAAAAAATAGATAGAAGAACCTTGCTTGCTTTTACACACTTTCTTTTATTCTGGAAAGGAAATTGGGGAAGGTCCAAAAATTCTTTCAGGAACCTATGATTTAGTTCCAGTGTTCAATTTAGATTCAGATTTAGATTAGATGCAAATCTGATATTATATTTAAGTTATCTTCTCAAAAGTTGACATAAGGCAGATTATTGTTTATCCATGACTATAATAGTTCATATAGCTGAGAATTCAGATCCCAATTAGAATTTTATTTCTCACCAGCATCTACTACTTCCCTGTGGCAAATAGGACACGTCATGCGTTTTTCGGCTAACCAGTGATTGATGCAGTAGGTATGAAAACTGTGGGAGCAAGGTAAGATACACACTTTGGTGCCTTCTTCGTAATCTGTCATACAAATACAACAGGATGTCTCTGTGTCATTCTTCCTGAAAGATCTTACAGGCAAGCTGTCAATCTGTGCTTTGGTTAGTCCTCTAGATTCGTCATCATCAGATGAAATGAACTGTTCCAGATCAATGGACAGCCAAGAGTCACTGTCTTCAAATATTATTGGGGACATCTGTCTGCTCTGTTGGAAGGGCTCTTTTGGTGGGCCTGGTGATAAGCAGCTTTCATCACTGTCATCAAACATCACTGAACTTCCATAACTGGAGCTGTAACTGGACATAGGGCTGGAATCACTTGTAGACATATAACTAGAGCTTTAAGAACAAATTGTAGAAGTGACAAAGAAATCCAATCTCAGATATGTACTAAACTAGAACTACTACTATCATTAGAGCTTTCTCACTTGCATATGGTGACCCAGGCCTTTCCATGACCAGAACAGAAGACACTAGGCTCTGAATCACTGTCACTGCCTGTAAGGTTCCTTGATTAACTAAATCCTGTCATGGACCTGCTCTGATTGGCACCAGATGCAGTATCATTTACATCAGTATGCAAAATTCTGTGACCAGGACTTCTGATGGTACTGACATGAGCTTTTGCATCTTCCTGCTCAGAATGTGAAAACATATGCCTAAGACTTCCTTCTTCATTTTCTAAGGTGACATTCACTCTCTTAGATGTTAACTGAACTCTATAAGCTATGCTGTCTAAAAGACCCCTATTTGGCAACTCACAATCAGGCATTTGTTGTCTTGGTGTTTCTTCAGCTTGAGGACTCTCAGTCTCATCTACCAGAGGCTGCTCAGAAGTCTGAGATGATACACTATCACTATGTCTTTCACAAAGTTCTCCCAGTGAATGTGGAGTTGACACACTTTGAGTTCTTGCTCTGGTTCTCCGATGCTCTGGGCTCCTGCTTCTGCTTCTTCTCTGCTGACCTTTGGTAGGTGGGACTTACATTAATAGGTCATTTGTGCTTCCATCCGATCTAGATGGTCTTGCAAATGATGATTCAGGTCATGGATTTTCCATTTGCCATGGACTGTTTTCCAAAATTTCTTAGGAAAATCTTGTGCAAAGTAGTCTATATTCATTCTCTTGATTTGGGCTCCCATCATTAACGTTATTTGTTACAGTGATTTGCAAATTGGGTACCAAATGGTTCCTGGTGGGACTAATCTGGCTCTCTTCTCTCCATGGCTGGTTTTCTCTGCACCCACTTCTCACATTCTGAGTTTGTTCTGGAGAGAGAAGCTATTCTATTAAAGAGTCATCACTCTTCTCGTCATTGGAGGACTCTGTGTCTTTGTTTTCACCTGAGTGCTGCGGTGGGCTTTCTTTCATGAACTGAAGTCCCTCTGGCAGGTCTTCATCCGTACTTTTCCCCAGAGTGCCTAACAAGTTGTTATTCCTCAGAAGTCTCTAATCTTCTTCACTCAGGTTACTTACAAACTCATAGAAATCTTCCTCCTGAACCAGTTGGCCCATCTGAGTTTTCTGCTGGTCCACAGAATCGTCTTCATTGTTGGGACCTGAATTTTCCATCTTAGTGAACAACTGGAAAACTACCTGCCTCTTACAACAGAGTGTAACTGGAATTTAGTGTTTTCCACTCTCTGCTTCTGTTGGGTATCAGGATGCGCCTCAGTTGTATCCTTACCACCTCTCTGCCAGGAGCCATGCTACTCAAGCTGTGTAGCAAAGCTCAGGCTGGAGGAAGACTCCTACAAATCAAGGGCCTTTGCAGCTGGCTCCCCCTGTTACCCACCTTGATTTTGTTGTTCTCCATTGTACTATTGGCTTTGCTTTTGCTTGCATTTTTGCCAAAGACTAAGCTAACCTTTGCTAAGCAGCATAGAAAGGAGGAGAACATAAACTTCCCAGAAGTTTTTCAGGACAGTGCTCCTGAAGGATGGAACACACAGGGGCCAGATGGCGATCTTGGCATAGAATACCAAAACCTGCAGGTAGCTAGTCAAACATCAACTACCCCATCTCCACCTAAGTGGGAATGCCCCCCTTGTTTGCAATGCTAGTGAAACTAGTTATGGAGAGTTTTATAGAAATAGAGTTATGAGAGATTACTGAATGGGATAACCCTGTCTGACACTTCATCAATCTTCTCATGTTTTCTTCCCTCTGCTACTTCTATAGTTTTTCTTCTTCCTTCCTAATAATAGCCCTTTACTAGAATTTGTGCCTTATATGTGAAATTACCAAATACTATAATTTTTCAAGAAGTGAAGATACTGCAAGGCCAGTGCTGGGCCTGGAAGCCACAGGGCATACATGTGCAAAGAAGGAAAAAGCTAACATTTTCAAAGAATATTGCTTCTCTCTCACTTACCAACTTTACATCTTCCTGTATGGCCCTGGAAGATGGCTGGTTAGCCAGAGATGGTTAGGATTCGTCACAGGAGGAACAACCTAAGACAGGCACAGTTGCAGGGGGGCCATCAGCTGAGAAAATGGGGACCAACAGAGGTGAGGCTTAGAACCTCACCCCCCCAGTTTTGAGGGAAATTGTCTACACCCGTGGATGTTTTGTTGCCCTTGTCTGACTTGGATTAATACCTAGTCTATAGGCACAGACCTGATCATCTTCACTTGCCTTCTTACAGCACTAAATCATGCTTTCTATCTTTATCTTGCATCTATCTACGATAGAATAAATATTATGAGGAGATAAAATGTACCCATTGCATTAGAAATATAGAAGATGATACCTGTCTAGCTAACTGTGGTAGTGAGTGACTGTATTTCACCCTGATCTGATAGACTCCATAGTCACTGCTACATGCTGCACGTTTCTGTGGTCACATGCATTACTTAGAAACCACTTTGCACAGGAACAAGAAACACAATAGAGTACATGTTGCTAGGAAAAGTTTCGGTCAAGGAACAGAAAAAGATCACCTGTCTAAAACTCGACCAACCACGAATAGATTAAAAAGAAAAAGAAAGAAAAAAGTTTGCCTATACCTATTAATCAATGGCCTATACCAATTAATCAACAGAACAATAAAAAATAATCATATCCTTGTACAAAATGGTATAAATAAAGCTGTCATTGGCACTTTGTCAAGAGACCACCTCCGTCTTACTCTGTGTCCTGTCTCTCTGTGCACTGACTCCATCTCATCCTTTTGGGCTTCACTCCCCCACCCCCTGCTGGAGTTGGACTCCAGCACCTCTCCTTCCACAGTGATTCTGATGGGTCTGTGGTTGAGACCCACCTCTAGCCCAGGGCTTGTTAAGTTCCATTGCCTAGGTGCTCATTATTACCCAATACGTTCTGGACTCCAGGTAGGAGGGTGTTATGTTATGCTCAGTGACAAATACAATATAGTTTCACCCATCTGTGGGATATAAGAACAAGGCAAAATAGAAGGAACAAGAGAGCAGCAAACTCACAGACACTAAAAAATGACTTGTGGCTACCAAGGGCGGGGGGCTGGGATGGGTGGGTAGGTGAGGAGGATGAAGAGGCACCATAATTCGCAATCACAATAGGAGTTGGTCACAGGGATGGCAGCACAGTCTGACTCCACAACATCTTTCCACATTGATAGACAGTAACCACAGAAGAGGGGGTGAGGATTTAATAATGTGGGTAACTGCTGTACCACTCTGTTGTATATTTGAAACCAACATAAGATTGTGTGTCAATGATACTTCAGTTAAACCCTTGCCCAATAAAAACAGCAAATACTGCCAAGGCTTATTGTGTACCAAGCATTGTACCTCCTTTTACCCACATGAGCCCATTCTCAGGCTTTCAGGAGGCTTCTCTGTCTCTGATATGCTCTAGTTATTTGTATGTCAAATTACACATGACTGCCTTTTTCAAAATGCCATGTCAAAGTCATGCTAGTTAAATGAAACAATTCTCTTTTTCAGACACCCAGGGAAGTCTGTCTTCTCTCCTCATGAGCTCCTCCAATTGTGGACACTCACCAAGAATGGCAGCAGTGTTTGATAGTTCTTCGGGCCCAAAGCCGAATCTCTTTAGTTGGATCCTCTCCTTTTAACCCTTAATGGCTTCATCATGCATTATACAAACCCTCAAGATTCTGTGAAGAAAACCAAAAAAGAAACAAAGAAACAAAGAAAATGAAAGCTTTGGCAGTTTTTTCCCTTCACCCAGAGAATTCTACCCTTTTTTTTTCTGAAAAAGGAAATCTCCTTTGAAACAGGAACATACTCAGCATTAAAACTCAGTTAATGGACTGTCATTCAGCCCAGAAGTTCTGCATGCCTCAAGTGTAAAAATAACAATAACATGATTATATTTGTAGCACTTACAGTTTATAAAGAAGCTTTATGAATGTGATCTTCTGTCCCAAATGGATGTTTTTCATAATCCTATAGGACCTGTTCTTCATATTATTATTTTTATTTTTTATTTTGGTATCATTAATGTACAATTACAAGAGCAACATTATGGTTACTAGACTCCCCCCATTATCAAGTGCCTACCACATACCCCATTATAGTCACTGTCCATCAGCGTAGTAAGATGCTGTAGAATCACTACTTGTCTTCCCTGTGCTATACACTGGCTTTTCCATGTGACCCCCTACATTATGTGTAGTAATCGTAATCCCCCCTTTCCCCCCTTATCCCTCCCTTCCCACCCATTCTCCCCAGTCTCTTTTCCTTCGGTAACTGCTAGTCCATTCTTGGGTTCTGTGAGTCTGCTGCTGTTTTGTTCCTTCAGTTTTTTCTTTGTTCTCATACTCCACAGATGAGTGAAATCATTTGATACTTGTCTTTCTCCTCCTGGCTTATTTCACTGAGCATAATACTCTTTAGCTCCATCCATGTTGTTGCAAATGGTAGGATTTGTTTTCTTCCTATGAATGAATAATATTCCATTGTGTATATGTACCACATCTTCTGTATTCATTTATCTACTGATGGACACTTAGATTGCTTCCATTTCTTGGCTATTGTAAATAGTGCTGCGATAAAAATAGGGGTGCATCTGTCTTTTTCAAACTGGGCTGCTGCATTCTTAGGGTCAATTCCTAGGAGTGGAATTCCTGGGTCAAATGGCACTTCTATTTTGAGATTTTTGAGGAACCTTCATACTACTTTCCACAATGGTTGAACTCATTTACATTCTCACCAACAGTATAGGAAGGTTCCTCTTTCTCCACATCTTTGCCAAGATTAGCTGCTATTTGTCTTTTGGATGTTGGCCATCCTAACTGGTGTGAGGTGATATCTCATTGTGGTTTTAATTTGCATTTCTCTGATGATTAGCGATGTGGAGCATCTTTTCATGTGCCTGTTTGCCATCTGAATTTCTTCTTTGGAGAAGTGTCTGTTCAGGACTCTGCCCATTATCTAATTGGGTTATTTGCTTTTTGTTTGTTGAGGTGCATGAGCTCTTTATATATTTTTCATGTCAACCATTTATTGGATATGTCATTTATGAATATATTCTCCCATACTGTTGGGTGCCTTTTTGTTCTATTGATGGTGTCCTTTGCTGTACAAAAGCTTTTCAGCTTGATACAGTCCCACTTGTTCAGTTTTGCTTTTGTTTCCCTTGCCGGAGGAGATATGTTCATGAAGATGTTGCTCATATTTATGTCCAGGAGATTTTTGCCTATGTTTTTCTCTCAGAATTTTATGGTTTCATGAGTTACGTTCAGGTCTTTGATCCGTTTTGAATTTACTTTTGTGTATGTGGTTAGACAGTGATCCAGTTTCACTCTCTTTCATGCAGCTGTGCAGTTTTGCCAACACCAGCTAGGAACAAACCTAACCAAGGAAGTAAAAGACATATACCATGAAAAATACAAGACACTCTTGAGAGAAATTAAAGAGGACACTAATAAGTTGAAATACATCCCATGATCTTGGGTAGAAAGAATTGATATTGTCAAAACGGCCATCCTGCCTAAAGCAATCTACAGATTCAATGCAATCCCTATCAAAATACTGACAACATTCCTCAATAAACTAGAAAAAATAATTCTAAAATTCATGTGGAACCACAAAAGACCCCAAATAGCAAAAGCAATCCTGAGAAGGGAGAATAAAGCTGGGTTCTTACACTTTCTAACTTCAAGCTCTACTACAAAGCCACAGCAATCAAAACAACTTGGTACTGGCACAAGAACAGACCCATAGATTAATGGAACAGAATAGGGAGTCCAGGTATAAATCCACACATATTTGGCCAATTAATATATGATAAAGGAGCCATGGATATACAATGGGGAAATAACAGCCTCTTCAATAGCTGGTGTTGGCAAAACTGGACAGCTACATGTAAGAGAATGAAACTGCATTTTTGTCTGTTCATACACAAAAGTAAACTCAAAATGGATCAAAGACCTGAATGTAAATCATGAAACCATAAAACCCCTAGAAGAAAACACAGGCAAAAATCTCTTGAATATAAATATGAAAACTTTCTTCATGAACATATCTCCCCAGGCAAGGGAAACAAAATAAAAAATGAACAAATGGGACTACATCAAACTAAAAAGCTTCTGTACAACAAAGGACACCATCAGCAGAACAAGAAAGCATCCTACAGTATGGGAGAATATATTCATAAATGACATAGCCTATCAGGGGTTAACATCCAAAATATATAAAGAGCTCACATGCCTCAACACCTAATGAACAAATAACCTGATTAAAAAATGGGTGGAGGATCTGAACAGACTATTCTCCAAAGAAGAAGATTTAGATGGCTAACAGGCACATGAAAAGATGCTCCACATTGCTAATTATCAGGGAAATGCAAATTAAAACCACAATGAGATATCACCTCACACCAGTTAGGATGGCCAACATCCAAAAGACAAGAAACAACTAATGCTGGGTAGGATGCGGAGAAAGGGGAACCCTCCTACACTATTGGTGGGAATGTAAATTAGTTCAACCATTGTTGAAAGCAACATGGAGATTCCTCAAAAAACTAAAAATAGAAATACCATTTGACCCAGTCATTCCACTCCTAGGAATTTACCAGAAGACCACATGATTCCTGATTCAAACAGACATATTCACCCCTATGTTTACTGTAGCACTATTTACAATAGTCAAGATATGGAAGCAACCTAAGTGTCCATCAGTAGATGAATGGATAAAGAAGATGTGGTACATATACAGAATGGAATATTATTCAGCCATAAGAAGAAAACAAATCCTACCATTTGCAACAACATGGATGAAACTAGAGGGTATTATGCTCAGTGAAATAAGCCAGGTGGAGAAAGACATGTATCTAATGATTTCACTCATTTGTAGAGTATAACAGCAAAGCAAAACTGAAGGAACAAAACAGCAGCAGAATCACAGACTCCAGGAAGGGATTAGCGGTTACCAAAGGGAAGGAGGTGGAGAGAGTGGGTGGGGAGAGAGGGAGAAAGGAACTAAGGGGAATTATGAGTAGCACACATAATGTAGGGGGCAGTCACAGGGTAGGCAGAATAGCACAAAGAAGACACTAGATAGTGACTCTAAAGCATCTGACTATGCTAATGGACAGTGACTGCAATGGGGTGTGGGTGGGAACTTGATAATATGAGTAAATATAGTAACCACAATATTACTTATGTGAAACCTTCATAAAATTGTATATCAGTGATACAAAAAAAGTATCAGTCCCATATTTAAGAATTTTATAGTAATTGAGCAAAAGACTTAAAAAACTAAACTACCCGGATTTAAAATACAGAATGTGAACATGACAACTAATTTGATGGTTGGTGTTGATTTCTTCCATTATTTGTGTTTCCTCCTGTGTTTCAGAAAGCTTGACTTATGAGTAAGTGTGTATACCGGTCCCCATTGAGTTGTAATATTTTAGAGTTAGGAGGAGACTTCAAAAACCACTGAGCCTCAAACTTTTATTTCATAGTTGAAAATATAGGGAGAAAGATTTATTTAAGTCTTGGAGTATCTTCATCACCAAAGTGCTCTCTGAGCGTGGAGGATCGCTTAGCTTTCAGCAGTTGATTTGGGATTATTTGATATCACCTTAATTGGATTTCTGGGCCTGTGGGCCTCAGGCTAGTGACTGGAATGGAGAGGAAACAGTTGGGGAGAGGAAAGAAGTGCTCCAGAAAGGAAATGTCAAGCCATCAACCCAGTGGTGAGTCCACAGTGATAGCATTTATTTTCAACTCTGGCTACAAATGTACTTGCAGAGGGAAGAGCTCTCCCGTGCAATTTGATAAACTGTGGGACTAAACAAAACAGTTCTTTCCTCACTGACATGCTGGGGGAGGTTCTTTTTTTCAGAGGAATTTGCATGTCTTGTGTCACATCAGTGATGACCACAACTCCGCAGAACTCCCTGTGTTGTATCTGGGAGAGAGGCATTCTGTAAGAACAGGGTTTAGCAGGACCCTCTGCACTGAGTCCCTAAGGTTGGGGCTAAAGGCAGAGACAAGTGTGGTGTTCAGAAAAATTTCTATGCAATCTTCTGTTCTTTGGCACAAAAATTATTCTTGTTTTTAATTTGAGTAATAAAGCTCATAGAAATATTTGTGTTTTTTAGACAGATATCTGACATTTACCCCCTTGGCTAACCATTCCCCCAGATACATTAATTTGTATGTCAGGGAGGGGGCAGGGGAGTAAGACAATTCCTTTGTTAATTATTCCTTTGACAAGACTTTTAACTCTTGGGAAACATTTCTCTCTTTGATGGAAACATTTCTGTCTGTTGCTGTAATCTCAAAGCAGCCACCTGGTTTCAGGTCAGAGGAGAGGAAAGAGCTTGATTAAGTTTCCCTAATACTGATTTAATTTTGAAAGACTTAAAAAATACAAACACAATAGTTGTGCCTATGATCTACCTGTTTAGCTCTCTCACATCCCCTACTGTTCTCTATTCCAGATTTTTTTGAAATTACAGTATGTGCATAAGAAGTAAGAAGGGGAGATACTGTTCCAAATTCATGAGCCTTGACATGAAAGGCTCAATGTGCACAGATAAACCAGTGTGGAGAAAACACTGACACTGACTTTAACATAGTTAATTAACTTGAACACACAGTCAATAGAGATGTTGATTTAGACATTCCTTGGACATTTACTT